CAAGAAGTATTAGATTCTATCAAAATGAAGAAACAAAATGAGCCACCACCACCACCACCCCAGCTACTGCCATGCTCTCAACCCCCACCTGTCTCTGATGGATACAAGTTCAGGGGACAAATTTTGTACCGTATGTGTGGCTACCTTCTGCACTCAATGCGCAATGAATGCAATCAACTGAAATGTGATGAATGTTTTCAACGCCTACAGCTGAGTGCAGGAACAGTCCACCCTTTGGCAACTTGGACTGAGAATCAAGATGAGTTGAGATGTTCTCTAAAGTTCAGTCTTCCCTTGCCACACAGGCATCACTCACATGTACATTTCTTCAAACATGTCCATTTGCTTTAAAAACAGAATTTCTTGCAAAGAGCCCTGATCGGCTATCAAACCTTCCTCTACCCTCTCCAAACAGCTTCGTTCTTCCAATAGAAATTGTTCGAGTCTGTCATGCTTCTCGGTTTCTTTAACTACTGAACACAACTGTTTGGAAGGCACAGTACGCATGTTTTTCACAGTGGGTCGATGCATGGCAGGAAAGTTCTTTTCAGTCCTCTTTGAATGTTTTGAGGCAGATGATATTATCTTCTTTTCCTTAGTCTTGTATGGCTTCAGAAGGATACACAAAGAAGGTGTGACATGAGGTTTCAAAACTTTCCTGCCCTCATGCCAATCCGAAATTTTGAAATGCACCTGTCAAAAGTAAGAAAATAAAATTGTAGAGCCATATTCGTTAAGTAAGTTAGTCGGAAAACAGAACTAAATGACAGAGAAATCTCTTGCAGCCTACAGTGAGTGGGATTTTGAGGTTAGGAACACCTAACTTATTATCTTACCTCGCAAAGCTGGTCTCCACGCCGTGGTTCCCAATCAGTAGGACGTCCTATAGCATTTTTCCATGCATCTCGCAAATTACTCTCGACCGGAAAGTTGACAAGACGAAATCCTTTCTTGCTAGAATTTGTGCAATGTGGAGCACAGCAGACTGACGGCATTTTTAGGATTACACAGAGCCTGTAAGATTGTTATTAGCATAAGAAACAATTCCAACGCAGCAGAGTACGTTATCTTTACAACAACCAACTTTCAACTCACCTCGCCAAATGTTAAACAATAATTTTATTAAGTTTAACACTCTAGGCGGCTCGCGTCAGCGAAGCATTGTTTACCTTGCCGCTACGAGACGCTAATGTAAGATGGGTATACTCTACGTTTCACGCGTGCCACGACGCGCCACCAATCAGCGCCCGCTGGTGCATGCTGGGGCACCAAACCGAGCTGGCCAATCACAGCGCAGCGGCGCGCCCCTCGGTTGTCGCCTCTCTCCTTATAGTCTCTCTA